TTTGAGTCCCGTTTCTCTTTTTGGGGTTTTTTGTTGTTCTCCCGCCCTGGCGGGGGGTCGGGCTAGAAGATCTACTAGGTCCCTTCCGACCCTTAATCTATGAATCTATGAACCTTAACAATGAAATAATTTTAAATTCAAAGAGAGCTTTGTTATCAGAAAATACACACATAAAAAGGTATTTAATTTTAATATATATTGAGAAGATTCTTAGCTGATTAAATAATTGTGGAAACACTGACTTAAGTAAAACATTCCTAAGTTTGTGTATCTATTTGTGTAACTGTCCCCATGTATGACTGAATGTTGATGTTTAAATATTTTCTGTGGCAAGGTGGAATATGACCTTTATTAATAATGTCAGTCTAGACTGAAAGAAAGAAGACTGTATTGTAAACAAATGTTATATTCCATAGTCCTTTCATGTCTGTGTATTTTCAATTCTAACAGTTTAAATGTTGAAAATGAGATACTCCTCAAGACAAAAAAAACCTCTTTTGAAACATAATCCTATACCTTGATTTCTCAAGCAGCTACATGAAGAATCTTTTTTTGCTCTTTCTGTCATGTTTATATCTACTTACTACAGCTTCTTAACCTTTCTCTGAAGCAACTGGTCCTGGGCACCGGACCAGCTAGGTTGGTGTATGGAAATTCTTGTGTTCTGAGTGTAGCCCAGATAAGGTGTAAGGCACCATTTTGGGGAGCAATGTTTTTCTCCTGTAAACTCCTCTTTCCTCTGTTGCCACTACTGTCAAAGCCTTTTGTAAGAATGATGCCAAGACTTTTCTGTTAACCATGTACTCTGAGAGACTTTTTTTGCAAATGCTTGTAATTTCTTTCTCTCAGATAATTAGATTTTGGAAGTCTTCCAAGGGAAGTACTGAAAGCCCAGGTGACAAATTTTAAAGTATTCCGTGTATCTATAGCACCCAAAATTGTACTGTAGAGAGCAAGTCTGTATTAGCAGAGTGTTGAGATATGTGACCTGTCAAGTTGTTTCCATTTATAATTTATCTCTTTCTGTATCTCAGTGGAATAATGCGTTCTGACTGTGGAGTGAAAGTCTCCTACATCTCATTTTACAGTGCTGCCAGATCAGACAGATGACACAAGTTGTGCCATCATTTCAGGCCTCATCTAAGGACCAATGATATTAAGAGGAGTCCTTCCACTGACTTCAGTGAGCTCTAGATCAAACCCCCAGCTTTTTAATTGCTAATTTTGGCAATTAAATATTATATAATATAAATGGAAACTTCCCATGTTTTCTAACCTTCCCTCTCTTGATTTGAACATAAAGTTAGGAACAGCTAATGTATTGTATCATTAACAAATTACATGTCAAACATTTTAATTGCATATATTACACATAGAATACAAGGCCATTTATATTTCTTGTTATAGTCATCGTAATAGGTATACAGTACAATGATAGAAAGAGATAAATATCCAGTATCTTTGGACATTATGGATAAATGTATCTATTGTTACCTTCAATTCATTTCTAAACACAATGCAAGAAATTATTGGTCAAGAATACAATCTGCAAAAGGAATGTCCTTCAGTAAGTGTTATTACATCTTTAATCTTTTTTGATTCACTACACTCTTAATGATGGGAGTCTGTTGACCCAGAGAACAAATTGTATGTCTGGTAGGCACAGATGTTGAGAGTATTATAGAAAATATTATGATTTGCACAACAGTCCAAAAGGGTAACATCACATAACAACAGTTTTGGTTGCTGGCTATTATAGGTGGTTTTGTAGAGCCTGGATGCTGCGCAAATTGTTTTCTGAAGCCTTAAACATACATTGCCAAGCAGTATTATTTATATCAGGAGTTGGCAAGCTTCTACAAAGGGGAAACCAAACTAACACGGCTTCATCCTAAGGTGAGCTGCCAGTTGCAACACAGCCACTGCCCTTTCTATTTTCCTGCTGCCATGTGGTGCAGAGCAACATTCAGTGGCAGTGTTTCCCAAACCTGGTGGGCACTCTGCCACCTCCCCATCCTGCACTACAGCTGCTACTTACTGCCACACAAACTCATTACTGTGTGCTGCCAATTGCCCTTCCTGTACAAACAGTGGATACCATAGTGAGACAAGAGGCAACTGCAGTAAGGTGGCTCCATTCGGTTGCCCCATTTACCATGTGCTACCAATCCCCCTGACTGCAGAATGCTGCCATGCACTGCTGATCACTGCCACAGGCCAGATCAAACCTTTGCAGGCCAGATCACATCTCTTCATGGGCTGGATCAGGCCCATAGGTCATAGGTTGCCAACACCTGCTTTAAATTATCCCCGTGGCATGTACTATATGCAGGGAACAAAAGGTTTATTAATTCCATTTATAAATGCAGTACTTCTTTTCTATAAAGATGTTTTCAGTTAGGTACCTAATAAAGGGAAGCTGTCAAGGTTTTCAGTGGATCGTATGTGACCTAGGACGAAGTTGACTTCCAGTTGTTTCTAGAATAGCCTTATAATGAAGATTCATGTTAGAACAGGCGTTGCACATAAACAAACACCTTTAACTATAGTATGATGTATATTTCTATGACAGACAAGTACATGATGGTAACTGCCTATCAATTCGAAAGGTGGGCAGCATTTTAAAAAGTAAAGTAAAAAGCTGTACATTTTATACAATTTTTTTATAAATAGCTATTATTTTATTCAGTCATGATCCACTTGAATTAAAGTACATTTATATAAGTGCCTTCCATCCATGAATCTTAAAGTGCATTTCCAGATACTAATAACATAAGCCCCCCATGCCCTTATATCATAACCCCCATTTTACAGTTGAGGTATACTGAGGTTAAAATAGGACAATTGATTAGATTTTGAATCTCAGTGTCAGTTAAGTTCTTGCCCCACTCCTGGGGCAATACAGCTATAAAATGCCATCTATTGAAGCTGTTCTGTAGGGTCACAGGTCAACCCTTAATATATATGATAGGTATCATCTTCCAAAGCACTCAGTGGGAGCATGTAAGCCAAAGCTGAACTCAGTGTTAAAATTCCATTGACTTTGATTGAACCAGAGTTAGGCCCATGTTGAATGCCTATAAAAAGCCATCCAATATTTTGAAAGTTAAATGTAACTGAAGTCATTAACTAATTAATATGTAACATACTAAAATTAAGTGCAGATAATTATTAGAATCTGGTGGAAATTGTCCTCTAAATTCTGAACATATATTTCTAAAAACTCATCACTTTTACAAAGACATTGTAAACAATAGCCAATACCTACAGCATTGTGTTAGCTGTTGCTCCAGAACCAGAGAAGGAGTGAGTCTTAAGAAACCCTGTTCCCAAAGCCTCCAGTGGAGCTGGGCTGCCCCCACCTTCCACCACATGGCTGGATGGTGCCTGCTGCACCTGCCCCAGGCATTAGATTGGACTGACCAAGCACTGCCCAACTGGCCCCTAGGTAAAAAGGTAGAGCACCACTATTCTAGAAGAATCCTGCATTTTACCACACTTGGAATTGAATTTAGCATGGTTCATACACACAATTTTTGCTCTTTTTCTTTCTTTTGAGGCACAAATTGACTAGTAATACTAGTTTAGAAATATTTGGGGCCATTATGAACAATAATTTGTACCCCTATAAGCATTTGTGCTCATGAAGTTTTGCCTAACTTAGTTGTTAGTAGTTATATGCTGAAAAGGAAGAATGCTAGTAAGTATTTACAGAACAGGCATGTTTTTGAAATAACCAATTAAATCATTTATATAAAAATTATTTTGTAACCATCTAAAAGTAAAAAGTAGATACTGCATATCACTTACAATCTTCTACAGCAGATGATTTGTGAGAACCTGGTTATTGAGAATCAATTAATCACCTCAAGGTTATAAAACCTATCTTTATGGCATAGGACACAGAGACAGGCACAGTAAGTTGGAAGCATAGAAACATATCCTCATAAGTACCAAACAGTCGCCATTGTTGGATGACCAGAAACAATTATCATTTATGTAGGCTATATCAAAGTTCACAATCTTCAAGTCCTGTTTAAGGTACATCTCATTCAGTTTATTCAATGTTCGTGCAAATGCATATTTGGATGCACAGCTATATGCTTCCAATTTGTAGACTTTCTTGAAATGCATATCAAAATAGGGGTTATCCTAAAATAACATAGAGAGAATTAGATTATTATTGCACTACCGCGATATTTTTATTGTTCCATGCTCAGTTACTTTGTCATTTGCCTCACTTTAATGGATTAAAAAAGATATAAGCCAAGGGCCTTAGAAATACATCCACAATCCATAAATGTTCCTATAATATATTTAGGCTTGGCTAAATTCAATTTTTTTTTGTAATATTGACAGATAAAATTGATGTTTATTTTTAAGCATTTATTTAAATTTTATTGATTTAAATGTTAAGGATTGTGCAAAAGTAGTATGTGGGGGGAGACAATTTATTACTGACAGTATACTATAATTATAGTGCAGTTTAACCTCCCACCACAACAAACATAGCTACTGTAGGACTGCTGCCAGCTGAGTGGTAGAGCTGCCATCAGTCCCCGGTCTGTGTACCTATAACTTCCTTGTCCACTTTGCCACTTCCTCTTCCTTTGTTCCCAGTCTCCTGGGTTTTCTGGGAGTTGCAGTGCAAATACAGGCAACATAGTTCTGTAGGACTGCCTCCCCCATTGTCACACATTTCATCTGTCATAATTTTTCTTACATCCCTTTTCTATAAATTTCAATTATTAATGATGCAAATACTTTTTCCTCAGCCTATGAGTGTGAGGTGAAATAAACATTTATCAATGTTTACCAATAAAAATAAAATCCTGCCAAGCCTAAATAAATTATACTAACTGGCCCCAACACAGCAATTCTTAAACAGTCCTCACTCAGGTAAAACTTGAGCAGGAGGAGCGTTTCTGCCTGAGTAAGAATTTCTGGATTTGGCTAATAAGCACATTACAATTCAAGACAATAATATGAAATTATTTTAAAGTACCATCATAGGATTGTCTAAAATGTACCGTGTGCCAAAGCACATTCCACGTCAGATGAAGAGTACTGGTTGCCCTTTCTCCTCATACTGCAGATCAGCTCTATTCATGTGTACAGTCATTTTAAAATTAACAAGTTGCATTACATTTTATGAATGTCATTAACCATGTCTTCAGCTAATGACTTTGGGACTAATGTTTTTCACTAGAAACAGTAAGACAAATCTAGGTCATCACCACGGATCCTGGTTTTCTCTGTTTAAAAACTGCAAATTCTCTGATTTAAAAAGTCACAAAATCTCTGCTTAAAACCCCAAAATCTTCATTTTTCCATGATTAAAATGAAATGCCACTATATATACATATAGGTATCAGTTGAACACAATGTTTTATTAATCTTTTTACAATTGTAAAGCAATTTGGAAGGCTACCAGTGCCTCAACCACTAAAATAAAATAATTTCTAAATACCTATAAATTTTGGCAATTGATTTTGGGTTCAGCATGGAAAAATAGAGCTCCCCCTAGCCTGTTCGCTCACCAGGACATGGGTCTAGCTGTGACTGTCCCCACCTCCCCCACTTTGTGGTGCTGAACAGCCCTGATATGCCGGCACCCTGCCCATGCCATTGCCCCTCACTCCTTACTCACAGCCCTGTGGCCCTGCTGGTGCCCCTCACTCCTGACCCACAGCTCCTGCCCCCCTCCCCCGCCCTACCTTTAAAAGAGAAATCCAAGTTTTTCTCCTTAAAATATAAAAACCCATGTTTTGCTGCATTTTTCCATGCTGAACAGAAAACCCAGATCCTTGGTCATTACTTTCTGTAGAAAAATGTCTGGGAGAAGACTCATTGAGAATTGCCTCTAGAGCAGTGGGTTTCAGCCCTTTTTGTACCAGGACCCATTTGCAAACATCAATAGCTAGTTCTGACCCAGTGCCCCCCACTCCCAACCCACTGCCCCCACCCCAGGCCTCAGCCCCTCAGTGTGTGTAATAGGGGGTAGGTGTGTGGGGCGGGGGGGCACAGGGCCCTCCAAGCGGCCCCTTGCAATCTGGAACTCTGCCAGCATGTAATAGAAAAGCCAGATTTCTCATGTTTTTCTCCTTTAAAGGAGAATCTATTTTTTAAGTTTGCTGATCCATTTTTAAAGTTTGTTTGCAACCCTATAGTCTTGTAACCCACTTTTGGGTCATGACCCACAGGTTGAGAAACACTGGTTGACAGCAGGAGTGTCAAACATTTGCCTGCATTCACCCCCATGGCTCCTTGATGTCACTTGCCCTGCCCCCACTAGTGCTGCCCCATTGCCAGAGGTGGGTCCAGATCCAGCCCACAAAGAGCCCTGCAGTCCGAATGTAGCCTGGGAGAGTCAAGTGAGTTTGACACCCCTGCTCTAAAGTGTCACCAGCCCATATAATTCCACCATCGGTGTGAAGATTATTATAGCTGTGTTACCAATAAGTCCCTCAGCCTGCTCTAGTCCTGGGACGGCCTCAGAGAAAAGATAAATCAGCACTAGGTAGAGTTGTCCTTTGGGTGTAAGCTTCATGGAACAAAACCATTGCAAGTTTCCATACAGAAGCTATTATTTTTTCTGAGCAAAAGGTTCTAGACCCTGTTCTAAGTCAGGGCACAGAAGGTGACCTGTCTCTGCCCCACTACACTGTGAAGCATGGGGAAATGTTCAGGGTAGGCAAGAGCTGAGGAGTTTCAGGAAACACAACTCCAGGAAGAGGTTCCTTGCCTCCTGCAGAACTTTCAAGCACTTGTGGATGTTGAGGCAGCACCATAACTATGGCACGGTGAAAGGAGCAACACCCTGGGCACTGACTTGGAGGGGGCCAAAAAGAAGTGGCTGCAATTGCACAGCAACCAGAAGTCACTGCTGACCCTATGCCCCAGATGCCCAGGTGTG